GGGGTGTTAACTATTAAATCTTCAAAGGTGAACCCCTCATCCAATAAGACAATTAATGAAATTAAATCAAGAAAATATGTGGATGATGACATAGTTTAAGCATTGGCAATTTTTTCTGTGTAATGTTCTGCTTAAAATCTCTTGAGGTGCAGTTGCATAAATCAGCTTCTGGTTTATCTTTTATTTCACAAACTAAAAACCAAACAAATAACCCCACAGGATTCAGGGTCATAAGGTGTACTGCTAGAACTTCCACAATAGGAAACACAACATTTTTTTCAGTTAAAAACCACTGGAAGACACTAGCTGAAATTAAATTTGTAGTTGTGGTACCAGACTTAAAAGTCTGAGCATTTAATTCACACAAAGGAGTTACTGAAAAGGAGCACAGATGTAGTGATGAGAATTTCAGCTCTGCTAGCTCTGGGATTCCCACTCTATCCCTTAAGCCACTGCCACAGGGTTTTTTACACCCTTTGTCCTCTAGTTTCTTTCAGTAACTTCAATTTATTTTTGCACAAAAGCGTAGCTTCTATAGGATGGTGAGAAAGGGCTGCTGCGTGCTATTTACACAAATCCACAAAGTGGTTTGGGGTGAAACTGGGTATTTTTGGAAGGATATATCCTAAGATATTTGCCACTATTATGGCCACATTACATATTCTATGAGCCTATAATGCTGCAGGAAACTTTAGCTCTAAAGACTCATCTTTTCCTCTCACCATGCAATTGTGGAAGGCTAAGCTGTCTACTCAGAATTTTGGTTTTCACTGATCTTGTAAATTCATCTTGTATTTTATATCACAAATTGTACATTTTTTCATTAACTGTGCTAGCTAATGACAGTAAATGACAGACAATAAATAGGTAGGCTGTGATCTAGGAAATTCTGAGATTTTTTTCTAAATCTATCCTATGTATCTTATGGTCTTGGATAAGATGCTAAATAGACCATGGTAAAAATAGACCATGTTGGCATGGAAAGGAAGAAAGTAATAATTCTCTTGATCATAATAGTAGTGATATGAAAATATCCCAAAGTGAGAGAATTATTCCACATTATAGTAAAATACCAAAGGATAACTGAATTCCCACAAGAGTATGCAGGTTCATCAGCTGCTAGGCACCTGAGCAATACAACTACAGAAAGATACTTCTGACAGCTGGCTTACTTGTAATATGCTGGAATTGTTCAGAGCTCTGTCTTATTTGCATGGTAAACAAATTTAAAGGAATGAAAAAGATATGTGAAAATGAAATTCTGCATAGAAAGAGCTCATAAACCCTTGAGTATGCTGTGGTACTTTAAGTTCATATGTCTTAGTTGTTCTTGTAAAGTCTGGTGTTTTATTTCATGAGTGTTAATACTTGAGGAACCAGGCAGTGTAAACTGTTTACTAAAGCACAATCTATTTTCTTGGCTTTACCTTTTTCTTCTTGGATAGTTCTGCACTAAATTATCCATTTTGCAATTGCTTCAGAACTGAACAGCTACTGCTCTGTGCATGCAATGACAGATTGCCAGTATTCATGTTGCATCATCTAGGTATGTTATCCTAAAGCATGAATAGATGCAGGAAGTGAAACTCAGCACATCTTCTATGCTATGATGTTCCCTTGTCATGGGAAATCCTGACAACCTAATTGAAGATCCTTAGATTCATTAGATGATAATTCTTTTCTTACACCAGCTTTCCACTTTCTCAGTTGGTGTTTTGGCTTTCTGTATGAGGCTGTGCTGCTGAGATACACAGCTTTGCTCTGTCATTTTTTCAGGGGTAGTTGTGCATGGTACATTGCTAAGAGTATGCATTGGTACTCTAAGAGTACCAATTCCTGATCTTTTTGCAATGTTGCTCCTTGCTCTACAAGTGCAGTCTGGCAATCTATTCTCCCTGTCTTGGGCCATAGGAAGGTATTTATGGGATGCTAAAACATTTTTTAAAAAATCAAGCTTTAAAATATCCTGTCATCCTTTTATAGGACATCCTTAGTGTCCTTCTCCTTACTTGTGCTCGTTCTTATTTAACTCCCATCAAATCATACCTTATTGCATTACAGATATAAGCAAGCACCAAAAACCAGAAGGCCTGTGAAGAGGCCTTAGAAAGCTAATCACGATGGCCATGAGAATTTTGTTACTTATTTCATTACTTCCAGAACAGGCTTCTCATTATGTGTTTCACATTTGAAGCTTGAAACCCAAATGTATCAATTAAATAACAACACCTTTAAATATGTGCTCATGTGTACCAATCGTGGTCGTTTCTGCTTTGAAAGGAAAGGTTTGCCCTTCATGCTCTGGGTACTGAATTATCTGTTATGATTTCATGGAGCTATTTCTATTCACCAGCCTACATGATAATGTAAAATGTCATGCACATTAATATGATGAAGAAAATAACTTCTTTTACAGGAAACTGGTTCCTTAGATGCCTATTAGAGGAAAATGGTACATAAGAGTACTCTAATACTGTTAGGCTAAAGAATCTAATGTAAAGAATCATAGTTATCAGTCTAAAGGAATTAGATATTGATGCAACTGCCTGCCCAGCATCAAAGGCACCACCAAGTTTACCAAGCACAGAAGACCTAATCAGAGAATGTATAAAATAGCTGATATGGATCTCAGGTCTAGTTCATCCATCCTTCTGTCTCCAACAGGCCTGATAAAAAAAAAATTAAAGTCTTGAAATAAAAAATAATCTATTCAAGTGTTTCATTATTTTTTATAATTAAAATATTTTTTATGTCTAATCTAACAGTCCAGATGTTGCATTATAAGTTTATTAGTTCTGCTCCCACACATGATGAACTTGGAAAACCAATGACTGTCTTGCATTTCACAACAATCTCATCATTTTGAAGACTGTCTCAGACAGACTAAATTATAAACCCAAGTCCTTCTAACATTTCTCATAGGTAATTTTTTTTTTGGTTTTTTTTCTCTATTTTTTTGTATTTGGCACCTCAAATTATAGCCTACAAGAATGTAGAAGAAATATTGTTTGCTGTGTTCACAGCCTGTACTGCTCTTTACGAAGTGTGTATTTTTCTTGTTCAGCATATGTTTTCATGTTGCCTCATGCTCAACTACAATCCACTGTAATACCCAAATTTTCTTTTAATATAATCCAGCATGTATATGGGTAATTATTGCACCAGACTCTCTGCTCAGCATTATCAAATTCAGATCACTGTGCTCTAATATCATTCTCCAAAGTTACATCAGTCTTTGCAACCATCTCCAGACTTAATAGGCATATTCTCTATTCCATCATTTCATCATGTATATCCTACATACATCTCCATATAAATGCATGGATATTTATAAATATATGTATGCAAATATAGATGAATATTTATTCCTTGAGGCATGTCACAGTTCAATACTTTGGACATTGAAACTTTCATAGCCTGTACAAGTGGTCTTCACACAGACAAAGGAGCCCAAAAGAACAATTGAAGCTATGGGAACCCAAATAACACCATGATTTAACTCCTTTGTGTCTGTTTCAGGAGTCATCAAACTGTGAGAGTCCCACCTTACAGCTATGAAGGAGCACTGAGTGGAACCCACCCCGCTGGGTACAACTAACACCAGGAAACAGAGGGAGGCTGGCTGGGTTGCCTGGCACACTTGCCCATGGGTACAGGTTTTGCTGCAGAGTGCAGGGCAGACCATTTCAGTACTGCACAAGACTTTTGAGGTGTTTAGGGGATCAAAGTCAGTGAAATGGGGATGGTTTGGGGAAGATCAAGTGCGGAAAAATATAGTCAGAAGAATACAATTTTTAACCCAGTGAAGAGAGCACTTGTCCAAGCTGTGGGCTGCCAGCTTGCCCATGAGAATGCTGTGGGAGACAGCGTCAAAGATTTTACTGAAGTCCATGTAAATATCCACAATTTTTCTGCCATCTGCTAGGAAGATCACCTGGTCATAAAATGAGATCAGGTTGGTCAAACAGGACCCGCTGTTCCTAAACCCATTCTGGCTGAGCCTGACCCCCTGGTTGGCCCTGTGATCACATTCAAGGTAATCTGTTCCATAATGTTCCCCAGCATGAGGGAAGGCTCACAGGCATGTAGTTCCCTGGATTCTCCTTCTGTCCCTGAATAATTCTGAATTTACTGCAATAACACCCAAACAAACTGCATTAGTTTAACTAAGAGACTTCAAAGACCTGTAGAAAACCTTTTTGGAACAAAGAAAGATCCTGACACATAAAGTACTCAGAGTCTACAGAGATGGAGCATTTAAGAAGAAAGTTAGTTAGTAATAGATAATTTTCATAGTGATTGAAGCTATCATCTAACTCACAAGGCAGATGTGTGTGTTCAAAGAGCTGTAGACTTACATTAATCTTGCCTGAAGTTCTGATAATTGCATGTTTTTAGCTGAAAGTGTTTAAAGATCTTTTCTGTGGTTTGTTAAATTTTTTTTAGCACTAGCCTGTGTGAGGTAAAATTCAATAAATATGAACAAAGGCTGGCTCATATTGATTTGTCATTGAAAATGTGTAATTTTCCAAGTTGTTTTCACTTATAATGTGTGCAGCTTTACTGCCTATTCACAGAGTATATTTATTATATTAACGATATACTAGAATAATAATCACATATTTCTTATCTAATTACATAGTTTCCAAGAAATGTGGCAATCAGTACTAACAAAGATTTACTCTACTAGAAAAATTAATTAAACACTGCCTTCAGATAATGCAATATCATTTGCACAATTTGACTGAATATCTAATTCAGAGAGACATACAGGAAATACTAATATAAAACATATTATTTTTTATCCTGAAATAGAAAGTAATAAGTTTAATAATAGAAATAAGCTGCATTGAAGACTTTTCACCTACAGAAGTACTGATTCCTCATTACTAGTAGTTATAACACAATCCAAAGTATGTATGTTTTGGGTGTTTTTCTTTTTTTCATATGCAAAAACCATGAATAATTTCCATGCAGTTACAAAAAAACCAAGGTGAATGTAAAAGATCAAAATATTTTATTGAAGGTTTTAATAGTTTCTTGTCCAGAGAAGCACAGGTAGAGACATAAGCCAAGCATGTTACTGCTTCCAGAAAAAAAATGAACATTCAGTTCTTCTACAACCAATTATTTCAAACTGAATTAATATACAATGCCCTAATGTTGGAAATGTTTTAAACCCACCAAACAATAGAACAAACAAACACAAGAAACACAAAGAATTTCTGGTGGCATTGTGACATTTAGATGTCACATATATTTGTTGACGTGACACTGATGTCAGAGCGCATGGCAAAGCTCTTACAAGTGATGGTATAACCACTGAAACTCTTTCTGGTTGAACTTCATGTCAGTGTTTTCCTGCCTAAGCGTTCAGATCACTCCTGCTCTCTGTGGAGTGGTTTGCGCTCCGGAGGAAGCATCGGCTCTAACTTCTGCCAGCGTTGTGGAGGCCAGAGAATATGAGTGGCTCGGGCATGTAGAAGTCCAAGAGAAACCTGCAAGCAAAATATAAACCAGAGGTGTTATTAGGTAATGCAAATAAATCAGCATGTGAAAAATACAAAGCATGTGATGATTTGTTAGAGCAGTGGGAGAATACAAAGCAGAATAATGAGTAGTCTCTCGTGCATGTTATGAGGGGAGAAGAAAATGTCGTTAGTAACAATTTCTTTTTCTTTTTTTGATAAAACATTTTTTGTAACTCAAAACAGCTTGCTGAAATGCACTGTCTGTAGCACAGAACTAGGAAATTTTTTTCATTTTCAAGAAAAAAAGCTGCTCAAAATAGGTGAGGTATTCTGTAAGCCACATAAAGCTTTTTGGTTATTAATTATTCTTCGTCCAGAGAACAAATTTTAAGTATCTATTTTGAAGAAGTTCAACAGAATCTGTGCCTTGCATTTGAGCCCTGTGTACTAACCACACCAGGATAGTGGCTTTTCTAAACATGCTGTGCTTACCATATATCACTCTCCTCCAAAAATCCATTTTGTCTTCAACCAAAAATGAAAATTACTGTGAATTGTAAAGATTTCCCTGAGGATGAAAATGTATTTCTCTACAGGTCAAAAACCTTTGAAGTGCTAGAACTACTTAAACCTGATTAATATGTTTTGCAAACATGTTTTACCATCTTATTATGTATTACTGTTTACTTCAGCAATTTTCACTAATATTTTACTTCAATAAATCAGAATAAAATTCAATTCTGATATTGCTTATAAATGAATCAGAGATAACATAATATAGAAAACAGAATTGCTTAGAAAATCTTAAGTAAATTACAAACAAGACCCTTTTCATATGGTATGAAAATAGCTAGACTAAGAGTAGGAATAGAATAGTCGCAATTTCAGACTGAGATAAGAGAGTCCATACTTAACACTGAAATTAAGTCATTTTGTATGGAGTTAATCTCAGCTAATTTGAAAAGCCTGCAGCATAAACGTCTGCATCTCAAATTATTTGTTTAGACTTGTAGAGAAAATAGCATGTAATAAGCATCCAGCACCAAGAGAAGATATAAACAGGACAAAATCATGGTTAGAAATACTGGAATGTCTGTGTCTGTGAAAATATTGAATAATTCAGACTCCTAAACAGATAACAGTGTTATAATGGTTACAATGGCAATAGAATTAGCAATGTCATGGATTAAAAAATGCATAGGCTTTATTTGACTCTTATGCCACTATTTCTCATAAGAACAAGGAAGCATCTATGATATTATCCTAAAGAATTTTTTAAACCAATAAAAATGAAATGCTTTTCTGTATGCACAGCATTACATCATACTTGCATACATTATACAGGATACAGGAGTGACCAGTCTCTATACTCCATATTAGGAACCACCAAAGGAAAAAAATGCATACTTGCTTCATTCTTATATTTCAATAATCTGGTATTGGCTGTTGTAAGAGCCAGGAATTAAATGGATTTCTGGTTTGAACTTGTACTTTGCTGCTTAAATTTCTATGTAAACTCAGTTCCATTCCATTTCTCATTAAAAAAAAAAAAAAAAAAAAAAAAAAAAAAAAAAGTGATTTTAGTAAGCAGGTAATTCAGCATTTCATGCAAACAGACACCAAATAGGCCCCTAGGAATATCTTCAGCTAATTTCCTTGATTTAATTTCATAGGATTAATATATATTCACCAGTCTCTCTCTACTACATAATCAAATCTGTGAAGCTGAAGTGGTATATATCTAATTCCATATTCTGTAGCTTGATGAAGCAGGTGCTGAAATACTTGAATATAATTTGGTTACTTAATAACCCACAATATCTAAAAGAATCTGAAGTGGATCACTGAATTGAAGTCTAGCATTATGTTTCACTTGCTTGATCCCTTGCAGGGACTACTTTTATCCCAGATCTGTAGCAGTTATTTTTCCTACATTTAAGCAAAGGACAGGCTGCTAAGTGACAACTCTTTTTCAATAGCATTCAGCAACATTTTTTAATGTCTTGACACACTTTTGTGCAGTTTGGTTGATATTTATGGAATTCACAACATCCTTTATCTTAATTAGCCCATAAAGTGGGCTGCAAATGTAATATTACCATGTTGGGTTTTTTTCCCTGAGCATACAGCATGATAGCACACACATTACAGGCTGGTGCCAAAATATAAAACCACAGCAAATCCCACAGCTGCATATAAAATGTGACAGCATTAGTACAGAGAAAAAAAATGTTAGAATACTCTTTCCAAACACAAATAACATCTCATTTTCAAAGCTCTGTGTTTTTCTCAGTATATTGCTTGTTACTGATGTCAGCAGGAGGGCTGCAAACAGACTGAGAATACAACAAATGAATCAAAACATGTTTTAAACTGAGGCTGGGAATAATTTTACCCAGAGGAATATTTCTACTGACCATCATCTGCCTTGAAACTAATAAAGAAATCTCCTTCCTATAAACATGATTTACAACATGACTAGACTTAAAAAGGAAAAACAGATACTGTTGGGTGATGGAAGCCTTTGCTAAACAACAAATTACACTGATGCTATAGGACTTCTTTTATAATAATGTAAAGGTTCACTTTAAAAGCACCTTGATGTTTGACTTCTGCAAACAACCATAATAACTTTTTTCCATTGCCTATTATTATTCTGTACTTACTACAGCAGCCATGAATTTCACTGAGGAAGAACAGAATTGTTCGCAGAGAATAACCTGCCCTTGCTAATGGATTTACCCTCATCAAGGTTAGATATGAATGAACTCAGAAGAGTGAACTAAAAGGCTACAATTTCTGTTGTAACAGTGAAATAGTGAGATAATCTATTAATTAATCACTTCACTTATAGACATTATTTTCTCCCTTTACATAAGAAAATAAGTTTGTTCCCTTGAAATACTGGCTTAACTATAAAAAAAAATCAGTACTCTAAAGATATAAATTCTTTGAGGAATGTGTTTCCTTTCCACCACAAAGATACCAGCAATTAAATAGTTGGGGGTTATTTCTACATTATGACCTATTTGTTGTTCTTGTGTGGCAACAACAGCCACTATATTGAATTGAATCCATATTATTGTGCTTAAGCTGAGCTGTTTAAACTTTTTTTAAATCTTTGAATATTAAGTTGAACAACTAAGAGGTCACTTCATTAACACAGCAATTTTATCTGCAAAGTAAGTTTTGAATTAATAATACTGTTTTGACATTCTTACTGTGCTAAAAGCATATTTCCTCAGTGTGTGTTTGTTGTTAGTATGTTAGTTGTACGGAAACTGATTAGTTTTGGCACTGAATAAGGAAAAGATAAGCCTAAGACTGATAGTGCTATCTGCAGTGGTACTTAGAACAATCTTGCTCATTTTGTCCTAATAGGCTTGGATAAACCACCTTTATTAGTATGAAGTCTTACAATTATATCACATCCTCTGGTTCTAAAATACATCATGAAAATGAGAAAAGTAGTATTCAGACTGTACAAGACCGTATGCAATGTAGCATACAGTGGAGGACATCAAAATGTCTATGGAAATGACAGGTACTCAGTTTGGATTTCAAGAAAAAGAAAAGTCCAAATAACAGTGTGATGGTGTGCTGGTGTTGGCAGGGGTAGAGTTAATTCTCTTCACCTTGGGTGGTACTAGGCTGTGTTTTGGACTTGTGCTGAACACAGGATTAATAAAAATAGAGATGTTCTTGTTACTGCTGAGCAGGGTTTACACAGATTCAAGGCCTTATCTGCCTTTTACTGAGACTGCTACTGGCAAGGAGACTGGGGATGCCTGAGATGTTGGAAGAAGACACAGCCAGGACAGGTCACCCCTACTGACCAAAGGTATATTCCAGACCATATGACATCATGCTCAGTATGTAAAGTTGAGAAAAGTAGGAAGAAGGGAAGGTTTGGAATTATGGTGTTTGAGTTTCCAAGTCACCATTACACGTGATGGGGCCCTGCTCTCCCTGAGATTGTAAAGGGAAGCAGTGAATTAATTCCTTGTTTGGCTTTGCTTGTGTGCATGGCTTTTGCTTCTACTATTAAACTGTCTTTATCTCAATCCACAACTTTTCTGGCTTTTACCTTTCCAAGTCTCTCCCAGATTCTGCTGGTGGGGGAGTGGATGAGCAGTTGTGTAGAGCTGGGTTGCTGGCTGGTGTGAAACTACCACACCCTAACAAGGGTATTCTCAGCTTTCCCAGAGAATGTAGTCTACCCAAACAGCTAAATTCAGGTCCTCTCATGAGTTCACTTTGGTTTAGGAACATTCCCCACAGATTTTCCCTTGCTTCTTTTTTTCCTTAAGCCTTCTTGATTTTGTTGTAACTTAAACAGCCAAGATTTCAAATGCTGTAACAACTCTGAAGCAATGAAGAGCAACACCACTAAACATATCCTGAGAAACAGCAATGCAGAATCAAAAAATCCAAACCTATCGAAGCAAGGGCAACTCCGATGTTGGTGAGGGAGAATGATGCATCTGACTCTACCTTATCAGAAGGCTAATTATTTACTTTATTATACTATATTATATACATTGCATCTAAACTGAATCTGCCATGCACTCACTCTGCACACAACTGCACGGAGCTGCCCTCATCTCCAATTCTCTCGTGACTGTCTTGTGACGGTCCAACACACACACACTTTCTTGGCCCTGACAGGCTAAGGGAACAAAACATCTTCACTTTGGATAAACAATCTCCATACTGCATTCTACTTTGGCACAATACAGGCACAGCAAGTAAAATAAGAATTGTCTTTTCCCTTTCTCTGAGGTTCAGAGAATATGAAACCCAGAAATATTCCTGGGAAGAATTGTGCCTTGCTTTTCTCTATGAAGAGAATGTGGCAACACAAATCTTTAAAACTTTAGAAAAAGTTAGACTTCCTAACTTGTCAGTTTTCTATTTGGAAGCAATAACCATAGAATCATAGAACTGAAGACCACTTAGACTGACAAAGACCTCTAAGATCATTGACTCCAACCATTAAGTCACTGTTCACCACAAAACCATACCCC